GGTCTTTTAAGATAGAAATGCGATACTGTGGTTCAATTTCGTTTTTATCCTTTTGTAAGTTTCTTTAAATGTTTGTTTAATAATGCTACTACTAATAGTAATAATAATTATAACAATGATGATGATGATGACAATAGTAATAATTGATATTAATATTAATAACAATAAAAAGTGAAGAAATTGTGCTAAATGCGAAAAAAAAGTTGTGATTTGTTGATCATACTATAGTATATATAGTTAGAGCTTGCTTCTCTTGCCACCCCTTGGATGCCACTTATATATTCAACATCTGGTTGGCAAAATTGCGAATGCTAGCATTTCTATAACAAACGTTTATTGTGGTAATCAAGATTTCATACATTAAAAAAAAAAAACAATACAAACTGTCTTTCATTCAACGAATTATTTTTATACAAGGCTGTTATTCTATCGAGCATCGTGGGAAAAAATACAAAAATAACAAATGACTTACTACGCACATTAATTTCGAAAATCGTAAATGTACACTGTATATTGAGTTGATTATAACAGGCTTAAAATAAAAACAATGAAAAATGACTAAAATAGTCCTACAGCTGTTTTCCGTTCCACACCTACGACGAGTGCTTTAAAATTTAACGATTGGGGTGGGGGGGCTTTTATCTGGAAATAATGTAATGTCGGTTTTGCGTGGTACGCACGTCACACATACGGTACCTGTCCAGTCTGTTGTCTCAGATTTCACTGAGTTACGGTACTGTATAAATAAAATGAAAATATAAAAAGAAACAATGAAAAAAAAGAAAAATTTTAAGAAATGAGATAAACAAAAAATATGTAATAAATGTGGTGGTTACACCACAACGGAGAGAAAAAGAATTTGGGTGATGGGTGGGGATTAGGCGAGTGATCTTAGGCCTACACCCTTTCCAGCCCCAGATGACACTCTAACTCTGAAAAAATGATTATCAGAGCTGTGCTCTTTGGCAAATTTATTGGTTTCTCCTCACTGATGATGAGGAGTTCTGTACCACTTTTCTAGGGACTGATCCTGGACTTGCTTAAGATATAAAATTTAAAATTCGGGCCTCAAACATAACGCATAGTGGTTAATATTGTCATAGTCTTTATAAAAAGAAACTTAGACCTATTCCTACCTAATAGTGATAAAAAATGGCTGGTAAATTCTTATTTGGGGAGGAGGGCTAAAGCCTGCTTATTGTAAATCCGACTCTCCTCCTGGGGTGAAGCTTAAATCAAGGACCCACGTCCTAGGGAAGAGTTGGCAGAGTATCACCTAAATATGTATCTAATGATTTTACAGGTTTATGGGAATAATATAGAAAAAAATCTATTTTTTGATAAGATATTCTTTTTTTCACTTGCACGTCTATTTCATGTGCTGCTCTAGCTGGGACCTCCACACTGTATTAATGGTTTTAGGTCTTATCCTTGTGATATTTTTTCAACAATCTGATTTGTAAAATCGTTGGTCAAACGTAGAAGACATGTTGTTGGTTCGTCGTCAATCAGGTATTAAAATTCAAAATTAGCGGAGAGGCTACTACTCTACTACTACCGTTGCTGCTACTTTTACTACTACTGCTACTACAACTGTTACTGCTACTGCTACTACTACTAATAATAATAATGGTAGATATATAGTGCACAATGTAAAAAACAGCTTTATGCGCTTTTACAGCCGGAAGTGAGATAAATTATTTAAAAATTCACATAATAAATGAATAAATGAATAGCTCCTTCATAAATATTATTATCTTTGTTTGTTCATTTTCTTTATTATTTTTTAAATATTTCCTTTCTTACCTTTCTTTTCAATTTGTTTATATCTTCTTTTCTTTCCCTTTTCTTTTCTTTCATTCCGATTTCCTGTCTACATTTTCCTTCCTTTACTTATCTATATTTTCTTTCTTTACCCTTTTTTTTTCTTTAATAGTACATTTTTTCTTTCTTGTTCCTTCTTTTCCTTTTCTTGCCTTTCATTTTCCTTCCTTTCCTTGCACATAAAAGGGTAAATAAATCAATCTGACTTCTGTGCCTTTTCATTGGCTCGCATAACCGTTCAGTTTTACACACTGACCAATAATAGGCCTATCAGGTATGTGCATATTACGCATGTCCACTTCGATAAACGGAGCCGACAAAGTCATTACAGTTCCTTTATAGTGTTTAACAGTGTAGGCTTACAAGCTGGTTGTTAGAATACATTTCACCATAACAACTCCCTGATTTCACTAAGGTATGTCGGTATATATGTTTTTAATAATTCTTCGTTTTACTTTTTCTTTTATATAAATATTTAAATATTTTTCCAACGATCCAATAGATATCATTTTCTTTATATTTTTCTTAAACTCTCAACAGTTTTTTTTTTCTTTTTTTAGTTTTTCGTAACCTTTCGACCAATGATTAAAAATAGTACCAGCATTTATATTTGTAAATTTTTTTGATAGGTCTATGATTTACTCAAAATAAAGGTGATATTTTTCTGACCTTTTGATTTCTCTAACTCTCACCTACCCTATTCGTGCCATGTGGCGCATAAGGTCATAACGTTTTATTTATCGCGGTCTTTAATTAATTAAAAATAATCAAGTATGAACCTACAAGTTACAAAGTGATATGCCTGTATAAAGGACATTCTGAATTAACCGTCATGAAATAATGATAAGTAATAGGGCCTATAAATTGTTATCGTTCAAAAAGACAAATCTGTATGAGTATATATTTTATACATAAAACAAAGAAATAATAATCTAGAATGATGTTAAAAGTGGTGCTATTTGGATTTATATGCTATGTTTTGTTTGTTGTAATAGCCTAGAGTAGACCTTACCGTATCACACGATGGACGCATTTCTAACAGTTATGTTATTTACAATGATGGTAGTCGAATCTCCAGCATCTTTTCATCCTGTTACTATTACCGCAAATCAACGACTTGCAATAGATGCATTTCAGTCATCGTTAGTGAATTTGTCTTCAGGAGAAGTGGAGGAAATCGTGTATAATCGTACCACCCCTGTGATTGAGCTTACGGAGGACCAAGAACAGAAGTTGCTGGCCGAGTATCCAGCTTACTTCAGGGTTGCCGATTCAAGGTAGTCCATTAAGCACATATTTTATTTTTGTGGAGTTTTGTGTGTTTTCGTCAAAAGATTAACATAAAAAGGTAATAAGGGAAAAATTACTGTAGGCCTATGTTATTCTTGACAAACATATGATATTCATAGTTGTGTTTTACGTGTATGTTCCACGTATTATAAAGAATAGTGTACGAGTTGGAGACAAACAAAAAAGAAAGTGTTGACGTATTTTTTAACAAATAGAATTTATTTCAACGAATATTTCGTCTTCTTCTTAACGGAACTGCATCAGCGTACTGATGAATACTGAGTGTCATAATGTTACGTTCTTATACGGAATAAATACAAAATATAATATTAATAAAACTGGACACTTAATAATCAAATTAACACAATTTTTGTTACAGTATTAGGATTCGCCATTCAAATACATGAATAACAAATAATAATAAACCTGAACACTAAATGACTAAGTTATTTGGTGGAATATGAGGGTGTGGGGTCCAAATCTAGAAGGGGTCCAATTTGATATTTCTCGTATTTCGGATTATATCATTTTATGTTCGACAATGGAGATATGGCACTAATTCTACTGGGCCCCATAACTCAGTCGGTTAGAACATCCACATATGTTTGTAGGAGGTCTCGGGTTCAATCCCAAAGCGGTCCAATTTGATTTGTTTAACATATTGCGTATTATATCATCATTCAGGTCGATAGGTTTCGAATGCTACTGGACTCCATCAATTAGAACTTCTAAAAAAAAACAAAAAAAAACAAAAAAGAAATTACAAAAAAAATTACATACCAAAATACTCAATTTTTGAAGATTTTTGTGGCGGCCATCTTGAATTTCAAAATGGTTGCCATTCTAGCTTTTTGAATCTATGTTTATTGAACTCAGAAAAGCACAAAACATTTGCTTAGACCCAAATTCACTATTTTTCATAGAGGAGATGTGGAATATTATACTGAAATATTCAATTTTCATCAAAAATGTGTTCCGCCCATTTTCTGGAGGTCCCACCCTCCCCCCGCTCATTTTAAAAAATTTATACCCTAGTGATGGTAAATCAGCAGAGAAAAATTAGTCCCCGAAAAATGGTCACGGGGTCCCTGATTTTTACTATACTATAGGAGTTACACAAAAAACCGTCTCGATGTCGAAGTTACGGTCATTAAAAAATCCGCTATTATAAAGGACTATTAATAATGCAGGCCTTATTCTAAACAAATGCAAAATATATTCGAACTCTATACAATTCTTGTTTAAATTAATGTATGGATGATGTGAGGAGATTGCAACATTATTTTATATTCTTTTTTTGAATAAATTCATTTGGAATGAATTCTACCAGAATCAAATTAATTATTAGCTAATCAACAAAAAACTGTTCGAAAAAATAGTTTTCACCGATTTACAAATATTAGCTACAAAAATCCTTAACTTCATTACCAGCCAATTTAAGGATCTATGAAGAAGAATACGGGAAGAAGAGACTTGATGATGATGATGATGAAGAAGAATACAGGAAAGTTATTATCTGTCTAAAAATTGACGGGGGAATCTTTTTCTAATTTAAATTTTTAATTGTAAGTTAATAACTTATTTAAATATACAAATTAAGGAATTCAAATGTGGAATTCAAATTTTCTTTTTTTAACCTCATGAATGATAATAAATTTTTCGATAATGTAAACATTACTACATTTCTAATTTCTTTTTGTGTAGGGCTCTTCCACCTTCACAAAAAAGGAAAAGAAGAAGTAGGCCTTTTGCCCGTGTGTGCCCTTCTGAGACGGTCCGAAGCGCCGTTACAGTGGCGTTTGATAAAAATGGCAAACCCGTTCTTGTTCCACATGTACGGTATCAATAAGTATTCATATAATTAATATTATTATTGGTATTATTATTATTGTGATTATCAATATAACGATAATATCATTATCTTAACACATTATCATTATTAGTATGTATATTATTATTACCATCATGACATCATAGCATTATCTTCTAAACACATTATTATTATCGAGAAATCACCATCATAATCGTAATCATCATCTTTATACTGTCAATCACCATCATCACTATCACCTCTACATTCGTAATCATCATCGTAATCATCATTATCATACTACTGTACAGGGGTGGCGCCAGGGTTTGCCCGACGGGGGGGGGGGAAGGGGGGGGGGGGGAATGAGGTCCCCGACGGGGGGCCGATGCCCCGACAAGGGGTCAGATTTCCCCGAAGAAAGCAAAATTAGCGTGGTCGAGCTTCGAATAAAAGGTTTCGAAAGTGGTCCTGGGGGCGAAGCCCCCGAAAATTTTGACAATTTAGGGGTTTCATAGGCTTATTTAATCGATTTTAGAGTCTACTAATATGTAGAAAATACATATAAATTTTTTTCTCCCCGACAAATTGTGCTTTTTCTCTCCCGACGGGGGGGTCAGCTCTCCCCGACGGGGGGGGGGGGGCGCTGGCGCCACCCCTGCTACTGTACCGGTATCTTCCTAACCACCACGACCATAATGGTGAATAAACAGAAAGTGTATTGTTATTATAATACCATTATCAATGTAACAAGTATATTCACACTGTACCGTATATCACCCCACTTGAAAATGTTGTTTAATTCATCTCATAATCTACGCTGCATGATGTATGCCGATGACATACAGATATACACAGTGGCGTATCTAGCAGTATTAAAATCTGTCTCTTATACACATCTAGATGTGTATAAGAGACAGATGACGGGGCGCGACCAAAATATGAGAGGGCGTGGAATTTATTTTCGGTGGCCACGCCCACCGAAATATATTGCTTCTTAGATTCCCGAATACACGTTAATCGTGACAGCATAAGCATAAGCCTAGCTTAATTTTTTTTTGCTTCGAAGTTTTCGAATGGGGGCGGGGGGCCGAGTCCCCCTTGGATACGCCACTGGATATACATCGATTTCCATCCTTGGTGAACTCTCCAGTTCACTTATAAGCTCAACCAGTGTGTAGGTTGTGTCCAACAATGGTCTCTAGCCAACAAGCTTCAATTCAATGTCAAGAAAACAGAATTAATTCGTTTTTCTTCAATGTTATCGAGCAGTTGAAGCCATGTCTCTACAACCATACCAGTTTCTGGTCGAACCAAAGACAGAGGTCTGTAACCTAGATGTAATACAATATCAATGCTGTATGTCACTCTTCCTGTGCTGCTCTCCGTAAAATTGGAAAAATCAGAAAGTTTCTCGACAAACCCAATACTCTACGTCTGATATATGCCTTTTTCAATTCACAGCTCGACTATTTCAATAGTCTCATCTCTGGAC